GTACGGGAGACAGAACTCAGGGCCTTGCTCATGCTAGGCAAGCGCTCTAGCACTGAACTACATCCTCAGTCCCCCAGAAACTATAATAAAAAAATAGCTTGTGTGGGGTGCGCCCTGGGAATACAGGATGAGCAGGACAGCCTTCCCCTTATCAGCACATCACACACATGAATAGGTAAGTTCCAGAAGCAGGTCACTCAATGTGCTAGAAGTATATATGGGCACCCAGGGGCTGGAAGAGTGGCTTCTGGATTCAGTCATTGCCATGGCTGCTGATATCCTTTGCTCTGCATCAACCTAGTCACTGGGGAGTATTTGATGTCTTATATACAGTGCAGGATGCTACCCTCCAGACAGGCAGATGTAGAGTGAAGGGCAGTGTGCTAGTCACGTACAGACAAAAGGGAAAGGGCTAGAGAGGGAGTTTGCCACGTGTCAAGCTCTCACTTCTGACCAGCACATAATTGGTTCCCTCCCCTTCAGCATCAGAGCCTCACAGTGGGGCATTATTGTTGGGCTTACAATCAGGAACCGCAGGGGCAGTCTGACTCCCCTCCGTGTTTATTTAGCCTGTAGGAGTCTTGTTTTCTCCATCTATATAGGGAAATTCATAGCATTTATGTTGTGGGATTGTTTGGGGGAACTCGATAAAATAAGAGAAAGTGTGTAAACTGCTCTGCTCAGTGCCTAACATATGGTCAGGGCTAATACATGGTATTTTTCTTAACAAAATCATTGTTGGACCCCCATTTGTGTGCTCAGATGTGGTTCTTCCTTTGGTCATCAGTGCCAGTGTCCTCTGTCCTCTGCTTCAGTTCTGTGGAGGAATGCGAGTCCTGCTGGCCAAGACTCAGGACAGTGCTTTTCAACCTAAGCCCATCCTTTGGAGCTCAGGTTGGTTTCATCAAAGCCCTCAGGAAATCCTTGTTTCCTCCCCTTCCTCCTCCTGCTTGTCACTCCCAGCCCTACAGAAATGTATTGTTTGGGGTGGAGGGTTTTCAGCAGGCATTCTCAAGGCGTCTTGTTAGAATGTGTGTGTGTGCCATATTCTACCTTAGACCTGAAAAACCATAATTTTTTTCTGGCAGGGCATTCTGCCCGATATGACATACGGGTCTGATTGTCTTTGCAGCTGTTTCTACTCGGCATCAGCTCTCTCAACATAGCACAAAAACCTCCAGCAAAAATTAATAGTCGGGCTGGGAAGGTGGCTCAGTGGTAGAGCACTTGCCTTTCATGCATGAGGCCCTGGGTTCGATTCCTCAGCACCACATAAGCAAAAAGAAAAAAGCTGGAAGTGGCACTGTGGCTCAAGTGGTAGAGCGCTAGCCTTGAGCTGAAGAGCTGAGAGACAGCACCCAGGCCCAGAGTTCAGGCCCCACGACTGGACCCCCCCCCAAAAAATTAATAGTGTCCGTGGAGCTTTTCCAAGCCCACAGATACTGCACCTGTGTGACAGATGAATGAGGCAGAGCTCTGGTGGTTAGGAACCTAGGCTAGGAGGAAGAGTGCAGTGTGGAAAGCAGCTCTGGCTCCGTATATAGCCCTGGACATGATGCACCTGAGGTACTAGACAAAAGGCAGCTCGTGTTCTTCTTAACAGTCCCTTGTGCTGGCTGCAAGATTCTGAGTTCCTTGAAAGGCCTGTTTCCTTTTTAGGGAAAGAGATTCCAAAACTGGGAATTAAGAAGCCAGTTGGCTGCTTGGAAAGCATGTAGGAAATGTGACAAGCGTCGACATACACATGCTAGCAGCAAGATTTTAAGAAGGGGAAGCACTGTGGACAGCATTCATCTCCTCATCCACCCATGGCCTCTTAAATAAGGACAGAGCATTGTGTTGGGAACTGGCATGGAGATGAGAAGCAGTGGTCTCCCAGGACCCTGTCAACTTTATGAACAACAATGTGAATCTCAGATGGCTCCAGACTTTGAGGTCTGCTACTTTTTACACTCAGACTTCGGGTTTGGGGCTCCTGGAATTGTGCAAAAATTGAATATAGTCGAAGCAGAGATTTGAGTAGAAGATAGGAAACAAAGGACTCAAGAGAGGGAGAAAATTCTGCCTTCTTAGCCTTCAGGATGCTCAGTATTCCATGAAGGGGCTATCCTTCGGTGAAAGCTGGGAGGGAAGGAGACTAAAGTCAATGAGACATCTGTGAAACACATAGCAAGAGCAGCAGTTGCCCTCACTAGTGCAGGCTGGAGACATCAGCTGGGGTTGAAGGTGAGGGTCAAGGTCATTCAGAGTCCTCAGTGCCCACCTAGACCTGAGTATGCATCTAGAGAGGTAGTCTCTTCAGTTCTTGGAATTCCAGCTTAGATGACTACATAAGGCCTTTATGGTTTAATGGGCCCTTAAATATGACAACTTGTCTTTAGGTCTAATATCTACCCTGTTGGCATTTCCTGTCCTCCTGGGTTTTGTGGTGAATCTGCCTGCTGCTCATCTGAAACGTGCAGAGAGCACCGCATAAGCTGGCATCGTGATGGAAAACCCACCCAAGGCATCAAGCACAGGTGGGAAAGCTTACCATTTCCCAGAGGAAAAGCATGCCCTCTTCCTTGGAGAGCATCTTCCCTTTACTGAAAGATGTGTGTGAATATGGGGTGGCATCCAGCTTTAAAAGGAAAAACAACAAAAAAAATCAACAGACATCACTGGGCAAATTTGTGGGGTGCAGTATGCATACAAACGGGGTAGTTAATTTTTCACCTGCTTAAATATTTTAAAAAGTCATTTGACTAGCAGGTCATAACTACATATTTATGGGGGTGTAGTGTGATTCCAATACTTGGAGACAACATGTACTAATCAATTCAGGGTAATTAATGTTTCCATCTTTATGTTTGGAGCCAGGGAGCTTCCTTTTCTTGTATTATTCAACAACAACAACAACTATGTGTCTGCGTTTCAGCAAAGACATACTGGTTCTCAGAGGGTCGGTGGGGAGGGCCAGCCGCGTGGCAGCATCGGGGCCTCCCTGCCTGAGATCTGCCCCAGCGTGGGCTGTGGGTCCTGTCTTGCCCGCCAGCTCTTCCTGATGTGACTTTATTAGATAAAGTTCTGCGCTCGCCAGAGGTCGAAACACAACAGTAGCTGCTTTGCGAAGATTTCTGCCGCATGAAATCAAACAACAGATCAACTTAAAATCTGGGTTCTTCCTCAGCTTAGATCCAAACTTGCCCCGAGAAAGGAGAAAGGTGGAGCAGAGGACCGGCACCCAGTCAGCGGGTGGCTTCCCGGCCGTGGCAGCCGGCGGCCAGCAGGTGTCAGTGCGCCCTCGTTCTGCCGCGGCGCCCCGCCCGGGTCTCCGGGACCCCTCCCCACGTCCGTCCGGGAGGGGGGGGGTGCGGCCCGACCCTAGGCTGCCCACGTCCCGCAGACAGGTCTGCTGCTGGGATGACAGGTCACTGTCTCGTAGCAAGTCTGAACCCTGACCTGGCCCGCGGGCGCGTGGCTGCTGCCCATTCCGCTCCAGGGGGTCTGATCCGAACGCGCTCCTTCCTCCCCCGCCAGGCTTTCCCTCCCCCCGCCCCCCTCTGGCCGCCCGGAACACCTGCGACCAAGTCCAGGGCTGGGCCGCTCCAAACCGGATGCCACCGGTACCCGAGGCTACTCCCCTTAACCTGGGTCAGCGATCCCGGCCGGCCACACTTTCCTTCCAGGACCCAGCTCCATGTGGGCGCGCCTCGGTGTCCGCCGCGATCTGCCGGGCCGGCCCGGCGCTGCCGGGCCCATTCCCAGCAGGGGCCGCTCCCCAGCTCCAGGCTCGCGCCCCGATCCCCTGGATCTAGACGCCCGCCTCTCCGGAGGGCCGGTCCAGCCTGCAGGGCTGCGCAGCGCTGCGCTCCCCGGGGTCCGGCGCGGGGCGGGCGCGGGTGCTGGACCCGCCGAGGGGAGGCGCGAGGGGCGGAGGAGGGTCGGCTTCCCACGTGGGGGCTGACGCCGGCTGCTCGGCAACGCCGGCTTGATCCCGGGGCTATAAAACCAGTCCACCGTAGCCAGGCGGAGCAAGCAGCGGCTCCCGCTCCGGTGCAGACGCCCCGCCGCTGGCGCGCGCCGCCCGACCAGCCTTGCGCTTTCTCCTCCCCGGGTCCCCGCGCTCCGGCTTAAAGCTCACTCACGCGGACCTCGGACCCCAGGCCCACCCGGCCCGCTGCGCCCGCTGCCCACGGAGCCCACGCTCAGGAGACACCCTGCCTGCCCGCGGCCCCGCGGCTCGGGAAAGGCTGATCATTGCTTCACCTGGCCCGGCTCGCTCGAGGACGGCGACACCTTCATGCGGCCCCCACACGTCTCCCCCAGCCGCCGCCCCGGAGCTCCGCGCGCCGCCGCCGCCGCGCCCCAGCCCCAGCCCGGCGCGCAACTTTGGAAGTCCCGGGGCGCTCGGGGAGGCGGCAGAGCCCGCGCCTTGGCCCCAAGTCGGGCCCAGCCCGCACCGCCGCGCTTAGGGGAAGCCGAGATCGTCCGGAGGATTTAAGGAGATAGACTTAGGACCCCCCTCCGCCCCTCCCGCCGCCAGCCCGAGCGCGCAGCAACCCCCTTCGGCTCCCGCCTGGGGTGGGGGCGGGCCTCGCACACGGTAAGACTTCTTGCTTGCGCTCCGGCCCTGGAGTCGAGCTCTGTGTGTGTGTGTGTGTGTGTGTGTGTGTGTACATACATGCATACTTATATATAAATATGTACATTTCCTGTCATCCTTCCAAGTCATCATCTTCTGGAAGAATCCATCTCTCTAACCACCGGCTCGCCTTGCTCTCTCTCTCTTTCTCTCTCCTGCCGCTTAGAAAACTTGGCTGTGTTTAGGAGCTGGGATCCCGAAGGCGCCCACTCCGCGGGTCCGAGGCGCGGGCCGGCGCCCTTCGCGGGATCCGGGTCCATGGGCCACTAGCGCCCCGCTCCCCGCACCCCCCCACTCGCCATCCCCTCACCCCAGCCCGGGCCCCGTCTCCCCGCGGGCGGGCCCCCTCCGCATGTGAGGCGCGGCGGGGCGCAGGAGGAAGAAGGAGGACTCCGGGGCGCCGGGCCGGAAGGCAACTGGCAGCAGGCCCAGGCGAGCGGGCGCCCGCGTCGCGTTCATGTTCCGCCAGGAGCAGCCGCTGGCCGAGGGCAGCTTTGCGCCCATGGGCTCCCTGAAGCCGGACTCGGGCAACGCGAGCTGGAACGAGAGCGAGGCCCCGGGGGGCGGCGCCCGGGCCACCCCGTACTCCCTGCAGGTGACGCTCACGCTGGTGTGCCTGGCCGGCCTGCTCATGCTGCTCACCGTGTTCGGCAACGTGCTCGTCATCATCGCCGTGTTCACCAGCCGCGCGCTCAAGGCTCCCCAGAACCTCTTCCTGGTGTCCCTGGCCTCCGCGGACATCCTGGTGGCCACGCTCGTCATTCCCTTCTCGCTGGCCAACGAGGTGATGGGCTACTGGTACTTTGGCAAAGTGTGGTGCGAGATCTACCTGGCGCTGGACGTCCTCTTCTGCACGTCGTCCATCGTGCATCTGTGCGCCATCAGCCTGGACCGCTACTGGTCCATCACCCAGGCCATCGAGTACAACCTGAAGCGCACGCCGCGCCGCATCAAGGCCATCATCGTCACCGTCTGGGTCATCTCGGCCGTCATCTCCTTCCCGCCGCTCATCTCCTTCGAGAAGAAGCCGGACGCCCAGTCGAGCGAGCCCCGCTGCAAGATCAACGACCAGAAGTGGTATGTCATCTCGTCCTGCATCGGCTCCTTCTTCGCGCCCTGCCTCATCATGATCCTGGTCTACGTGCGCATCTACCAGATCGCCAAGCGCCGCACCCGCGTGCCGCCCAGCCGCCGGGG